TGTATATACACACACACACACACACACACACACACACACACACACACACTAGTGGCCCGGTGCACAAAATTCATGCACGGGGGGGAGGGGGGTTCCCTCAGCCCAGCCTGCACCCTCTCCAATCGGACATCCCTCTTGCAATCTGGACCTCTGGCTCCTAACCGCTCACCTGCCTGCCTGCCTGATTGCCCCTAACCCCTCTGCCTGCCTGCTTGATCACTCCTAACCTCTCTGCCTGCCTGCCTGGTCACCCCCAACTGCCCTTCCCTGCAGGCCTGATATTGCCCCCAACTGTCCTCCCCTGCCGATCTGATCGCCCCTAATTGCCTCTGCCTCGGCCCCCACGAACATGGTTTTGTCCAGGAAGTCAGATGTCTGGAAGATGGCCGGTTGACCCGGTCTAATTAGCATATTACCCTTTTATTAGTATAGATAGTAGTGAACAGGTCATTAGACACCAGAATGAACAAATCTCATCTTTTAAAATGATAAGAAATGTGAACCTTCTGAATATAACTTGTGTAGGCATGTTTTGGGGGAGTAAAGGACGCAATGGTGAGCAATTATTATGTTCTCAACCTCAATAGAGGAATTAACAGTTTTGTCATTATAAAAGCCATATGGTACGGTGATAAGGACCCTGAACTTAGAAGACCTAACTTGGAATTCTTTCTCTGCCACTTACAATCTTTGTGATTTAATAACATACATAAAAGGAGTTGCTGTGAGGATTGAGGCAAATAATTATATAACATAACTAGCATCCTAAATTTATTATTGTTGAACTTCAAATCATAAACTTCTTAACCAAGTTCACTTCTATACTTTGAAGTACAATATGATACAATATTGTACAATAGTACACTATGATTTATAAAGCATACAAAATATTTACTGCTAAGTATAAAGAACCTTTTCTGCTACAGAGCTAAAAGTTCTTTAAAAATATTCCCTCATTAAGCTAACAATATTCCTTTCAAATTAAAACAAACCAGAATTTATTAAGTGATGTGTGCTAGGAATTTTATATACATTCTACTCATTTGGCCTTCACAACAACCGTGAGAACAAACTGAGACTTGGAGAAATGAAATAACTTGCCAAAAACACACAGCTCCTAAGTGGCAGCAGATCTTGGATCCATACCCAGGTTAGATTGATTCTAAAGCTTGTGCCCTTTTCTTTACATAACATCACCTCTTTGACTTTCTGACATGGGTCCATGAAAAGCTACAAATCTCATACAAAGTCAAAGAATAATTATTTTCAGTGTAGGGAAGGCAAATCCTCAGATTTGTTCTACTAGATTAAGTCACCTCCAAATAACAGACTATTTTAAAGGTAATTTTCAGACAATTCCTGCTTAATCTAGTTTTGGTCCCCAAAAATGTGCTGGTACATAAAGTGAACTCAGTCTTTTTCCCACTAGCTAAAGAAATTAATATATTATCAAGTTTAAGCCTTAGATGTGCAAAGACACTGTTCTAGAATTTTGATAAGAGAAAAAAATAAATCAAAGAATACATTTCCTAAATCTCTAATGGTATGCTAATAAACAGAATTGTTTCCACTGGAAATGCCTGAACTTACTGCTTCCATAAAGCAGATTGCTTTCTCAATTATTTTTTCCCCCATGAAACTTAGAGAAACTATCACAAAGCAAATTGGTGACTCAGGTGCTTCTGAAGAACTAAATCTGTAAATTAGAAGCTTTGTAATCTTGACATTAAATATAACATAATATATATAAAATGAGGTGATAAAAGTCTGTGAAATGTTTTGTAAGTCTATGGCCACTCTCCCTCTTCATTTAAACCAGTCTGGTCCTTGAGAGCAGGAGCATTATTATTATTATTAATCAAATAAAATTAACTTTGCCTCTATCTTCTGCTGCTTACCTGTTGCAGAGTATGCTGAGGGCTCCATGTGGGCTACATTCACATGGCAGACAGAGCCCAGAAGTGTGATTCAGGTAAAAGCCCTCCTTGCAGGTTTCACAGTGAACCCCCTGATACCCTGGCAGACACTCGCACTGCCCTGTGGTCTGGTTGCAGCGATTCACATCCAGGCTTCCAACCACAGAGCAGTTACATACATATTCTGCAAAGGAGAGAAAGAAAGAGACATTATTAACTAAGATTTAATGCTTTCTTAATAAAATGAACTCTATTTTTCTTAATCAATGTTCATAACTACTTTGTATGGATAGATAAAACTAATTCTAGTTCAAATCCACTTTTTATTCTACTTAGTTCATTTAAATTGAGAAATATATACAGTAAAGTACATGAAACTATTTATCATTCATATTTATAAAACTGACATTTCAATTTTCTTTCCAGTACTCTTCATCTTCTAGCTCTTTGACCTTACAATCCAATGTGTGTGGGTCTGTATAGAATTAGTTTTTCTGGATTGTAAATCGCCAAAGGCAGGGCCTAAGCTTATCCACCAGGCACATGTTGGAAATAACAACATATTAAATAATAAATAATCCCATTGTATAGCTGAAAAAGCCTAAGGCTCAAATCGTTAACTATAGTAACTTACATAGATCAGACAAGATTGTGCTACAGCTGGAATCATAAGTTAATATGTTCTTCCCAGGAAGAAATTAACAGAGAATTGAAACTTTAAGTTGAGAAAATGATAAGATAAATCCCAGATGAGAAAGTTTATAGGGTCATCCTGATCGATGGGTTAAAACCAATCACAATTTGAATCTCTTTCTCAAGTTAAAAGATTTAGAAAATAAACATTTTCTTTAGATACATTTCAAACAGTTCTTTAGATGAAATTATTTAAAAGTCCTTGGTGTTGGCCTTTTAATTCAGATACATTTAAGGTCAGTTAGGATTTGGTTTGTGCTATTATTATTATTTCTTTTAAATATATTTTATTGATTTTTTACAGAGAGGAAGGGAGAGAGATAGAGAGTTAGAAACATCGATGAGAGAGAAACATCGATCAGCTGCCTCCTGCACATCTCCTACTGGGGATGTGCCCCCAACCCAGGTACATGCCCTTGACTGGAATCGAACCTTGGACCTTTCAGTCCACAGGCCGACGCTCTATCCACTGAGCCAAACCGGTTTCGGCTGTGCTATTATTTATACTCATTTTATCAGGAAGAAAGCATTTTCAGCATAGTTTGACACAATATTAACATGGGACTTTGCAAACGTGCAAAAACTTATAGTTAAAATAAACTGCAGATAAAACAAAACTTTGTACATATTTTAGAAATAGCCCCCATTCCAAAACAGCTATGAACCTAGGTTTTAAAAGCCCAGAGAAATCTATGATACAAATTATATTTCTGAATAGATAAGGTACTATATAAAATGGCTTTATTCTGACAAAAGTTTAGCTCAAAAAAATCTTTAATGTAATTTTTGATGATTTCTTAAAAGTTACTAGATAACTGAAAATCCAGAGTTTTAAAAAGAAGGTTATAAAGGAGTTTATTTCTCTATTCTAGAAAAGGAAATTAACCTTCAAAATAATTTATGTCATCAGAAGCAGTTTGTTCACACAAGTCAAAACAAAGGATTCCACACAGATATTCCCACGTGGCCAACTCCATACCTCCCACATTTCTTCAGTTCCTAACCTTTAGTGTCAGCTTATCTCCCTTCTCTTTCCACCTCTTCTAATCTGTAAATTTACCAAATGAATAAATATATATGGGTGAGTGATTATTTTATGTATATGTCAAGCTTGAGTGGTGAGTTAGTTACAAACCTAGAGTTAAGTTCAGATTTCTTCAGCCCCAAACTTCAGAAAGGAATCAGCCTCATATCTCAATCAATATTGTTATTTTTATTAGCTATATAAGCATGACATTTCTTTGACAGTTACATTTTCACATTATTTCTACTGTGTGTGTGTGTGTGTGTGTGTGTGTGTGTGTGTGTGTGTGTGGTTTTTGTAAATAAGGAAGCCATGTTTAGTGGTCTGTAAACCTGCCAATGACAACTTCATGGCAAGACCTTCACTCCACCAAAAATGACCAGAATGCTTAAAATAACACTTTTCTTCCAAAATATGGCAGAACTTCAACATGCATCCAAATTCCTCCTGCTGAACCAATTTCACCACAAGTTACCTAACCAAATTATACTAGTAGGGGCAAAACTAGCTAAAAAAAAAAAAAAAAAAAAAAAAGTTTTTTTTAACTCTATAGTAAAGACTGAGAATTTTGCTCTGGCCAGTGTGGCTCAGTTGGTTGGAGTGTCATCCCATGGACCAAAGGGTCGCAGGTTCGATTCCCAATCAGGACACATACCCAGGTTTCAGGTTCAGTCCCTGGTCAGAGCACATACAGGAGGCAACTGATTGAAGTTTCTCTTTCATCTCTCTCTCTCTCTCTCTCTCTCTCTCTCTCTCTCTCTCTCTTCCTCTCTCTCTCCTCCCCCCTTCCACCTTCCTTTTTGTCCAAAATCAATAAAAACACATCCTCGGATGAGGATCTAAAAAAAAAAAAAGATTGAGAATTTTATCCTATTATTTCCTTACTAATGTACGTTCATCTGAAACCTGAATCAGTATTCCCAAAGAATAATTAGTAGTATTTTTTTTAAAGAACTCAATTAATCTAAGAACTCTGAGGCAAAACTAAGGTTTTTCTTCAGTAAAGTTTTAATGGATAAATCTTCAATATTAACCAAGTTCATTAGTTATTTCTAAGGAGCTAATTCAAACTCTTCATTATCCCCTGAACATATTCTTTCTAGTCCCATCTTTGAACCTTTGCTCATTCTGTTCCTCTTGAAATGCTCTCTCCTCTCCACATATTGAAACCTATTTCAAGAATCAGCTGAAATTTACTCCTCCATAAATTCAAACTCTATTGTTTTTAGTGTGAATCCATAACATCTACCACTTACAACTCTCATATGACAATAAAGTGAAGGAGTTTTGAGCACAGTCTGTAGAGGCAGACAGCTGCAGGTTAAATCTAGTTCTCTCACTTACTAATTTTATGACCTTAAGCAAGTTAGCTAACCTTGTGCCTTTCTTTTCTCATATGTAAAAAGGGCATAATATAGTACCTATAACACTTAGCCCCAACATCTAAGCTGGAAGTAATTTGGAATTCTGCAATAATTAATACAATTGCTGGTAGAAATGAATACCTAATAAAATAAACACAAATCAGACGTCAGATTCATAGGCCACACAGCTTTGTTGTACCCTGTGGACAAGATCTGAAAGCCCAGTTTTTAAACTGTTTGAAAATAGAAATATAAAGGCCCAAAGAAAAGACAATACACTCATGTTTTTATCTGAGAACTTAAACTTATGGGATAATTTTGATATAAAAGTATTAAAAGTAATTATTGCATTTAAATTTAAAGTTGTGGGCCATCTATAAGTAGAGAATAAAATGGTATCCCACATACGCCTGGCTCTATACATTACTAATATGGGTTCCTATAAATACAATGACAAAAACAGAAAGGTTTAGGACGTGGTTTCAGACAGAATGAAAAAGAGCATTTATTCCTAACAGTAGTAAGTGAATGACCACCTGAGTGCCAGGAAGAGAGCCGATGTATCAAGACAAAAACACACTATCATGTTAACATTCTTCTCCAAATTAACCAAAGGAAAGGAAGCTGAAGCAAAGCCCAGGAAGATGTGCACCTTTCCTGTTTGGAGCTTAGAATCCAAGGCCCTATCCCAGGGATTGACCTCAAATGAAATGACTCAAGTTAAATAAATAGCCTAAGCAACAGTAATATATGTAAAGTGCCATGAACATCCATTTCATGTATCAGGAAAACTTGCTAACTTGTAAGTAGAATAATATCTCAGAGCCTTCACAGTTCTTAATATTCATATGAAACCAGATAGGAGGAGTTAATGCAGAAACAATGCAATTTACTAGGAGGTTGGCAAAATGAAAAGAAATAAAATTTCAATTGATAGAAGCAGTGGGAGGACCTATAGCCAAAGAAAAGAGATGAAGTGCTGATTTTTTTACAATATATTATTTTTTATTGATTTCAGAGAGGAAGGGAGAGAGATAAAGAGATAGAAACATCAATGATGAGAATCATTGATTGGCTGCCTCCTGCACGCCCCCCACTGGGGAGGATCGAGCCCACAACCCGGGCATGTGCCCTTGGCCAGAATCGAACCTGGGACCCCTTAGTCCGCAGGCCAACGCTCTATCCACTGAGCCAAACCAGCCAGGGCGAAGTGCTGATTTTTTAATGAAGTAGAATCATAGACACCAGAGCAGCACAAAGGAGTCTGTAACATGACTAATGGATGATAATGAGAATGAAACAATATGAAGAGGACACAAAAAAGTAATCACAGACAAGTCTGAATAAAATGCCAAAAGCTCATTTGGTTGCCTAAGAGCAAATATGGAATAAACTCTCTGTCATTTCAGTAGCAGTTTTCCTCTCAATGTTCTATAATTCTTAGGAAAACTATAGAGAAGAATATTAATGTGTAGAAAGCAAATATTAGCAGAGAGACTGCAACCTTTGGCAACGTTTTTTCTTTTTGTTTGGCTTCTGAAGAGCAATGAAACACAGTGATTTGAACCCTGAAGAAGAATAAGAAAATAAAATTTGGTGCCAAACTGTTTGAAAATAGACATATAAAGACCCAAAGAAAAGACAATAAATTTGTGTTTTTCTCTGAGAACTTGAATTTATGGGATGTTTTTTATGTAAAAGTATCCAAAGTAATCTTTGCATTTAAATCACACTCTGTACTTTTTCAAACATTCCCTACCAAGGACCAAGAGATGAAAATTTTAAGCACCTAAAAAATATAATAGAGTAATTCTGTTTAGAAGTCCCACAAGCCCCCCCACCCCACCCCATGCACAAACACCTGTTCTTGTAAGATATTATCTCCTTGAACATACTGAAGACCTCTTCTGGACCTTTCATACACCTGGCAGGCTTCTCTCTGTGTCAGACTTAAACCACTTCATGTCCCTGCTCAGTAAAAAGTCCATTATATCTTCTAGAAAATTTTAATTGTGTTTTTGTACCTGCAGTTACTTTGATGAGAATAAGCTGATTTTAGAAAAATTTTAATTGTGATAGCATGTTCTGATTAATGTGTCCTTG